AATAACTTCTTCCTCCTCAACAGAGGATCCTTCTTCTTCCTCTCGAAGGGGAGGCTCAAAGTTAAAGTCTAACTCTTGGTAATTCTTCATGGCCTGCGTTTGAAAGGCGAAGTAGCCCTTAGCCCAGGCAGTGGCGCACTCATCTTTCTGCTCCACTATGGTGGTGTCCCTCTTAACCACCTTAGATTATCCGCATCAATCTCCTTATGACGGACAACAATGATGTCACTCAGCTCTTTTAAGTTATCCTTCATTGCCTTGGTCATGTCCCATGCTACCACCACATCCTTCTGAGCTTGAACGAGACTATTTGTCTTAAGATTGACCTCATCTGCCTTGTGCTTGACCTCAATCTCAAGCCTCTTTTTGGATGAGTTCAACTCTTGCATTTGCACCTTGAGGCCATTGTTCTTGAAGGCCAGCTCAACGACCTTAAGCTTAGAAACTTTAAGGAATTTCCTAGCTTCCCTAGCATCATTCTCCGAGGCTCAAACCCTCCTCACTAGAGCTCCAACATAAATCGTCATTTGCAAACAAAAAATAAATAAAGCTAACTTAGGGTTCAACAAGCAAAGTTAGGTTCAACAACCAAACTCTGATTAAAGGTAGAAATCAGGGACTTACCGAGGTTGCCCCATACAAGGTAGTGGAAAGTGAGGCAAAGAGGGCATCGAGGAATTCTTCTCAAGGTCAACCTCAGGGATGATCGAAAGGATAGCACTAGCAGCTAGGTTCACATCTCCAAGAAGAGAACGTCTAGCTTTGGCCATCTTAGCAGAGGAACTCCCTGGCATGCCGTGAAGTGGCTTCGAGGGCACTGATGGAAAGAGGTCCTGAAGAGATGGAGCTAATGCATCTAATGCCCTGACCACCACCTTCAGCGTAGGAGAGGTCTTGGCAACCTCTGCAATAGACTTTTTTAAGTTCAGAAGAAGGGGAAGTAACCTTCTGAACATCCACAGGGGGCTTGGGGGTAGGAGGAGCCTTTTTGGGAGAATCCTTCATTGAAACCTTCTGAGGACGCTTCAGGTCATCGCCCAACCCAACCTCAGCCTTTCTCTTCCCAACAACTTTGGAAGCTTGAGCGACTTCCCTCATTTTGGCCAACTTGGCCCTCAGGACATCAACATCAGGGGCTATAGTATCAAGATCTGAAAAAAAAAAAAAAAAAAAAGGGTAGCTCGAGAGTCAGCTAAAAATCTTACAAAGTAAATCAATAAAAAAAAAATCCAAGGCACAAGCAGAGGTCTTACTAATAAAATTTTCTCTTCCAAGGGCAGACAGAGGTACAACAGCTTCACCTCTCACCTCCTGAGGTCCAAAGTCGTATCTGGCAAGGATTGAGGGCATGAGAAGCCCGACGTACTTCTTAGGATGACACTCCTTAAGGTCCCTAAGGAGGAGCTTCTTGTTGGCGTCAAGCTCAGGACGAATACTTGAAACAACAAAAGAAGACATTAGCAATTAAAGAAGAAAGAAGGGATAAAATAAGAAGAGACTCAATTAAAGCACCTCAGCACAGACTCACCTAAACTAGCTGGGCTTGACCAAGCTTAAGGTATGGTAAGCGTGTCAAAGGCATTCCTCGGATTGAACTCCTATTCCTTGCCAAACACAAAAAAGAAGTTATTTTTCCATCCTTTGTGGGAACTCGAAAGGTTGATAATCAAGTGTTAGGTCTTCATCCATTTCAAGATATAATGAAATTGGTTGGCATGAAAGAACTTGATGTTGAAGAAATGCATGAACAAGGGGACAAAGGGGAAAACCAGCTAGGTCGTTTTTCTTGAAAAGGATCATAAGGCCTACTAAGACCAGAAGTTGGGAGAAAGTTGAGTTGGGCAAACATTGAAATGCTGGAGAACGGACTTCAAAAAGGGGTGCATGGGAAACCTTAGACCATTCTCAAAGATAGCAAAGAAGAAATAGGTCTTCTAAGGGAGCACTGTGTCATATCGGTTGTCCACAATGGGGACTAGACATGTATGTCCCTTGGGAAGCTAAACTTAGCATAAAGTGCACCAAGAAGAAGAGGGGTGAATTTCCTAGGTCTCGAGATGTTTGAGGCACTGGAATTAACCTCAGCATCCTCGGCCGAGCCCAAGGTACCAACAACATTCTTCCTAAATCGTCTCTTTTGAGACTTCTTGGGCTTCACTGCTAGACTTGGAAGAAGCAAGGGAGCCTTAGCCCCCAGCAACCTAGGTTTCGATTACGTCAACCCCATAAAAGTTATCTATCTCATCTCCTATGTATCCTAGATCACCAAGTTCTTCAGGGTCTTCCTCTCCAATTCTTCTACTACGACGGGATCAGACCTTGACTTCAAGAGATCTATCAGCCACTCCAAAGGAGAGAGAATATTGTGTGGTCTCAGAAGAAGCAGACATGAGGGCATAAGGGGAGAAGTAACCAAAAGAGGTGTAAAGAGAAAGGACATTCGAGAAACAGTCATTGAGGGCTCAAGGATCAGAACTCCACAACCAAAAAGGAAGACACTAGCTATGGCGTAGAGATCTAAGCAAACGGAAAGAAAGGACAAGGAATGACCCCGACTCCTAAAGTAACAGAAGCGAAAGGTTAAAAGTGGAATAACCACCTCGGATTCATAGGATCCAAGGTTTGATCGACGATTAAGAATACATAAGGGCATCAAGGAAGAATAGAGATGGCCTCTGACGATTTGAGCACTTGCTAAGATAGCCTGGACAGTAGGAAAGGAAAGGAAGAAGATGAAATCGCAAGAGACAGAGATAGAGAAGGTTGTTTTCTAGGTGAATGTGCAAAGGAATTCAAAACAAAGGAAAAAGCTAGAACAGAGGGGCCTTTTGGCGGTTTTGCCCGTAGAGGCATTTAAGACAAGCGTACAGTTGGATGCAAGGCACAAAAATGCTAAATGTGTGTGACAATTGAGACAAGAATGACTCCTTGCACGAGTGCAATGCCGAAAATCCTGGGAAACGTCCCATTGTGTGCCTCCCAAGTAAAAACTAAGCTGAGTTTGTCCATAATAGCGCAGGTCATTCCCAATCCAGGTCAAGCAAGGCTTAGCTGGCTAAGGACTGGGGGCCAACTGACGATACCAAAAATTAGCCAAGGCTAAGCTTAGACCTCTTAGCTCGGACATATCTACTCGGACCTCTTAACTCATGATCATTAGTTCGGGAGGTGCAGGTTAGGAATCATCACCAACGTGACCCTCGTGCACACAGTGATAGTGACAACTCGCATCTTCCAGAAGGCCACGCCATGCCCAAGGAATATAACACCTAATGGCCAAATATTTTGGCATATGGTTTGTAACAGCCTCAAAGGAATTACATTGATTATGCAATGATCGAATTGGTTATGGGAGTATCACAGAGATCACGCAAGACAATTGTATACTATAAATAGGGATCAAAATTCCTCGCATTGTAAGCAATCAAACATCTGTGCCATTAACTCTATGTAGTTTTGTAAACTTTTTCCCCAAGTAATAGAAAACTCTCCAGCAATAAGAGATTCCATTAGAATGGATTAACTAAGCTTCTAAACTGGTGAACCATTATAAATTTCTAGTCTACTAGTCTTTGTTCAAAGCTATGTAACCCCTGAATCAATTCTTAAAACCCCAAGAGCTCAGAAGCTTTGACTAGATATCCAATAAACCCTATCAACGTCCTTAACAAGATCTCCAAATCATTCACCTCTGCTCAACCGCGCAGAACACACCATCAATATTAAACATGATTGGTATTAATATAAAAAAAACGCCCTTATACACTAAGATTTATGAGTTGATGTTGGGTGTTAGAGCCTTTTTCAACTTAACATCATACATTAATCTCTAATCCAAACATGAGATTGGTACAAGAATAGTGGTTGCCCCAATTATGCAAAATTTGATCAAATCATGATTTGGTTGGGATGCGATAAACAGATTGACCTATTATTCCCACTATGAATTGGAATGGAATCATTTGTCCAATCTCATCCAATCAAGTCGTTTAATTTGCCACATAGTTGCTTGTTAGAAGCCAAAAATGACCAACGGAACAGCTTAATAGCTGAATTAGAGTTTCTCTTCTTTTTTCCTCCTCCCCACCTCCACTCTACGGTTTTTCTCTCTCGTGGTCAAATTGAAGTTTGATTTCCTGAGGTGTCCTAACCATGCACAAAATGTATCAAACTCAAACTGTAGCTTGTTAACACAGCCAATGTTCATACATATTAGCACGGAATTCTTATTATTCTTTTATTGATCACATGCTTCCCTTCAATGGACAAAAGCCATGCACGAAACCAATGGTTTCCAATAAAATTCAATAGTCATGGTGGTAATATATTATCTATTAGCGTGCGTATAAGAACACTTGCAAATGAATGCAACACTATTAAAGAACATTGGTAGGTAACAAGCAGATTTGCCATAGCTGCTACCGGAAAGTCAGAACTGCAGACGCTTTAAACGCCCGCCTTAGGATAAAGGAGACTTATATGGCAGAAGCAGAGAAAAGTACACTCACATCAAGTTAGATGACAGATAGTGAGAACAGCTGATCCATATACCACTTGCAGCAAACTGATGCTGCGTTCAGGGAGTATGAGCAAAGTACACTCACAGCACATTAGATGACAGATAGTGAGAACGGCTGATTCATATACCCACTTGCAGCACAATGATGCTGCACTTAGGGAGTATATGTGAAACACCTATAGCTGCGTTATAAGAAATCGTTTAAGCTGAAATTCAAGCCATTGACAATTCTAGCCAGTATAAGCTAGTAGTGGAGAATTTCAACAATAAATATCTAAACAGCAACTCATTTCCTTTTCATTCTAAGAAATGCAAAATGATAGCCATGTCGGGTCAATGGAGATATTACCGGCAATGCTTGGCTCTTTATATCTCATGAATATATGGCAGAAAAGAAAAACAAAAAAAAGTCAAGAAATGCTACAGAGATTTGGACATCAACTTCTCCATGTTGCATTCTCTTCAGTGAGCTGATCAGTACTTATGCTTCAACACTAGCTTCTTCAGTCTCCATTCCCTCTTCTTCCAACTCTTTAACTGCTCTTATGAGTCCCTTTGTGATGCCATTAAGATGCAAACCCTTCTCTTTCATTTCCTCCAGCAGCTTTTCCGCCATTCCCCAATCTACAGCCTTTAGGCATAGAGATTGGATCAGCTTATTGTACTCATCAAAACTAGGCTGAACCCCATACTCCTCCATCTCACGCAGCAGCTTCAAAGCCATGTCGAAGTGTTCAAGCTTGCAGTAACCCCGAATGAGGGTATGATAAGTCATAGGGCCAAGCTTGGGGTGCTTCTTTTTGGCTTCAGCCAGAACCTTGCAGGCCTCCTCCATCTCACCTCCCTTCACATAACCACTCATAATTACATTGTATGTGTACAGATCAGGTTTCAGACCCCTATCTTCCATAACTTGCAACAATTTTGTAGTGTCTTCCATATAACCAGCCTTGGATAGGGCATTTATAATCATATTGAATACTGAATTTCCTGGAGGTGGACCCAAATCAATCATCTTAAAGAGTACTTTCTTTGCCCCTTCAACATCTTTGATCCTACACAATCCAGAAATGACGGCCGAGAACTGCTTAATAGCATATTTCCGATCATCTTCCTGAAATTCCTCCAACATATCTAAAGCCAAGTGAACTGTCTCATCGTCTCGACACAAAGAGCTGATCAAAAAATTAACAGAAGATCGAGGTGGGTATCTCTGCTTCTCCTTCGCCGACAGAAAAATCAAATGAGCATCTTTTGCCTTACCACCTTTACACATATAAGATATAATCTTCCCAATTTTCTCACTGTCTGGCAGTTTATCCGCATTGAGCATCTTCTCACAAACTGAGCAAGCCCACTCAAAGATAGAGCGCCTACAAAGAGCTTCAATGGCAAAATAGTAGGTGTCAGCATTGGGGACACATCCAAACTCTCCAAACTTATTAAAAACCTCCAAGCCAGCCTTCCCTTTACCCAACCTTGAAAACAAAGATATCAACTCATTGAGAATCTCAGTATTCAGCGCCGCATTCTCCTTCTCCCCCACCTCCTTCATCAAATCCCACAAAGCATAAGCATCTTTTTTCCTGAGTTCACTGCAGATGGCCCGAACAAGTGCATCCATGGCTTTTGAAGAAACAGAAAACTCCGGCTTCTTTGAAACCCATTTGAAAAACCCAATTAAATTCTCACCCGGAACAAACGGGGTTTCCAGTACTCTTACAATAAACTCTTCATGTAAAGTCAATCCCATATGCTCAAGGCTAGATTCTAAAGAACCCTCAAAAATATTACTACTCTGAAGTAAAGACAACAAACTCTCTAACTTTTCCAAATCCACCTCAACCTCCTCTTTCATTTTCTCATCTTCCACTGCAACAGATTCATCAATGCCACTAGCAAACTCATCCATTGTTAGATTGTTGCTAGCTTCTTCGAAAATCGATGATGAAGAAGAAGAAACGGTTTCCTTTTCAAAATCGGCAGAAATTGAGCTGGGATTTTCTTCAAACATGTTGTTAGCATCAACGAAAACACGGTCTTCATTGGTTTCAGGGGTTGTCGATTCAATATGTGATTCCACAACTAAATCATGAGTTGGGTCGAATGAATCGTGAGAGAAAAATCTAGTGATTGGGAAATATGAGGATTTTTGGGAGACCCGTGTAGAGAAATGCAGATGAAATAAGTACTGCACGAAGATTAGGGTTTGACGGTGAGTTACCTGAAGAAGAGGAGGGTTTTGGACTGACCGAAACTGCAGTGCTGCTGCGTGTCTGCTAAACGAAACTCTTCTTGCTACTGATCGCCACATTCTCTCTCTCTATCTCTCTGAATTGAGAGGTTCAGAGTGATACTGTTTGAGTATGAATTGGGCTAAAGTGAACAACTTATTAAAGAGCGACTATGCCAGCCCAGTACCCCAATATGCTTACGCTGACGCAAGCCCAACCAAACAATACATACAAATTCATTATCAAAAAAGTAGGAAAATTTGAAATCAGTCATAAAAACCCAGTGATGTATATAAAAAAATTAGGGTTAATTATATTTGAGGTGCTCAAAGTATGTAATTTGTTTTATTTTAGTCTCAACATTTCAATTGCATTATTTTATTCTCTAAAATATTTAATATGTTTTTATGTGGTCACTCAAGTAGACAGTGAGATTACTAATAATTTTGTATTATAAACTTGTCACGCAATACTTAAATATTGGCAAAATAATAATTTGGATTACTCTTGACCAAATTTCTATTCAAATTTTTGTCAAAATACTACTTAAATTACACAGATTTGATCATAAGTTATTTAAATTTTGGTCAAGAATTACCCATTACACATTTTTGGTCAAGCATTACCTAAATTTTGCTTAAGAGCTATCAAAAATATTTTTTATCCATATTTAAGTATCACATGACAAGTTTATAAAAAAAAAACCGTTAGTAATTTAGATATTGTCTGCTTGAAGGACCACATAGAAACATATTCAATATTTCAGGGACAAAAATGATGTAATTGAAATATTAGAGATTAAAATGAGACAAACTCTATACTTTTAGGATCTCCAATACAATTAACCCAAAATATTATGATCAATCTCTAAATTTTTTTAGATCAATAATGAATCAGTCACATTGAGTTCTAATTTGAGCCATTTGAATCTTAATTTCATCTGACTAAATAATAACTTTCGGTATGGTCTGGCATATCAAAGAAATTATTGAGGGTGTGTGTGATTAACATTTAGGGGTTGAACGTTACAAAAACAATTTGTGTATTGCTTTAAGGTTGCATTTGGTAACCTATTGTTTAAGTTTTTTTTTTTTTTTCAATTTTTGCCAAATAAAAAAATAAAATAAAAACTTGTTTGTAATGTGTTTCTATTTTTTTAGCAACTCTATTTTAAAAACAAGGCCATAAAATGAAAAAACAAAAAATCCATTTTCATAAACACCCAAAATAAAAAAACAAGTGCTCTTTATCTAGAGAATTAATGAGATTCCAGCTTCGATTCTCCTCAGCAACAAAAAAAATGAATTTTCTTGCAAGAGTATAAAAACCCCTCTCCTTTTACTCCCTTTTTTTTCCTGTCTCTCTGCACCTCTCTCTTTTTTCTCTTTCGCCTCTCGCCTCTTGTTCTTTACTGTTGGTGTGTTGTTTAGTAAGAGGAATTGACGACAACAAAACAACAAAAAAGATCGAACTCAACCTCTATGATTTGTATAGTCACAAAGAAGATCAAACTCAGTTTTAGATCTAAATTTCTCTCTAAAGATATATACATAGATCTATGTATATATGCATATATATTGTTAGTTCTCTGTGTGTGTTGATGAGCACATAATATTGCATATTTGACGGCTTCATTACATGTATTTTTAACTTAATTTTGTATTTAATTACTTAGAGTTAGTCGAGTTTATGAATAATGTTGAAATCTTGTGGTTGCAGGTAATCATAGCATAAATGATGAATTTTGGAACCTTGCAACTATGTGTGGATGTGTGGTGATGAGATGGACACATTACATGAGGATTTGGAAGCTTAAAAGTAAAAGAAATCAAGGGGCTATATGTGCTTGGTAACATAGGCACCAGTACCCACACCATTTGGTGTTAGTACCTCGGTTTTTCTCATTTTTTACTATGATCCATTTAGAATCTGAAAAAGTACAAAACGTGAAAGTTGTAGATCTAGATGTCCTCTATATTATGTCAAAATCTCAACCCAATCGGACAGTTAAATCAAAAGGTATGACAATTCTACAAAACCTGGTCCAAGGTAGGCAACCTATCGGAAAAACCTACCGGTAGTTTTTATTCCAGTAGCCAAAACCTACCGGTAGAATGCTAAAAACCTATCGGTAGGTTTTACCTAGAATGCCCAAAACGGTTGTAACTCATGCTTCACTTACTTGGGGGTCCCACCTATGATTCTCCCACTTGCCCCCTGACATATTCTACATATATACATGCCTCTTATACCCTAGTTGAATCCTTTTGAGGATTGAGGATGGGAGAGGAGGAAAGAGAAAGAAGGAGGCATGGTTTGAAAGTATGGCTTTTCGTTGCTTGTGTAAGTGTCCAACTCCTTCCCCATGCCTAGATGTCAACTCACACAGACCCTAGGGGCCTCATGGATGAAAATGCATCATGTCTTCACCATATATTCAACATTCCACAATATTTTGAAAAGAGGCGACATAAGATTAGAATGCTCTAAGGAAGAAGATGAATAGTAGAAATAGAAAGCTTAGATTTTACATTTCTTCCTTCCATTTCAACTGTAATCTTTTGTAAGGATCTTGTAAGCTTAATTATTTACTTTTAATGCCATTTATTTCAAGTGCTTTGCAAGTTTAGTTGAGTATCTTAGTTTCTACCATTGTTGTGTTAAGTTTTCTTCATTTTCAAGTTTAAAATGGGTATTGAATATTTTTCTTTATAATTTAAGATTTATTGCATTAAGTTTAGTTCTAATTTTCATTTCTCCATTATGTCTCTTTACATTATGTATGTCTTTCTTTTTATTATGAGTAGCTAGAGTTTAAGTTGGCTAATCCAAGGGAGACCTCTTCTTGGATTTGTCATTTCAACTCATTTTCTTTCCCCCTCATAGTGTATGTTGATTCAGTTTGACTGGGTTGAGTGTGGAAGTGGTTGTGAGTCTTTGATACACCGTAGGCATTGTCACAGAGGGGTAGGCTTGGATCCTCACCTCCATCCTAGTCCCTCGCTTCTCACGAATCAATCGAACATCTAGACACCATTGGAAAAAGGTCTTGAGTTGATTTGGTATTTCAATTGAAATGACCTCTTCGGATTAGCCAACACTTGTTTCCATTTCATTTTTAGCAAAAACACAAACACCAAACTCAAACTCAAAGATTTTTACACTTTACCATTTTTTACCAAAACCACCTTCACACAATTCCCTTCCTTCCCTGAGGAGACATCATTGGAATAATTTTCCAAGTAAACCACGATACTCAAAAGACTCCTTGCGCTGGGGGAGCACTTTTTTTCACACACATGCACACACACACACACATTTCATTCATTCCACCACCACATTATTCCGTTTCTCAATTCTTGCATCAAACCCTAGTGAGAGTGATCCTCACCCACACACACAGGCCATATATATATTGAGGGTTATTGTGCGGAGAATTGGGAATACGACGGAAATAATCAAGCATGTGTGTGTGTGTTTATTATTATTATTTTTTTTGTATTAGGTGTGTGTGCATTTGTGTGTATGGATTTGTGTGGGTGTGTTCTGGGTTTGTGAAATTGGGCAATTTCATATATATTGTTAGAGCTTAACGCACTCCTTCTAGATTTTGAAGCCATAGAAGGCTTAGGTTCTTATGAAACAAGCTACAATATATGACACAAATTAAAGTAGTTATCAAACATATTTTTATTTTATTTGTCATATTTTCTAAAATAAAAGCTGCAACCAAATACATTTTCTATTTTAATTTTTTTTATCATAAAAAAACAAAAAATTGATTCTATTTTTTTAAAAAAAATATAAAAATAAAAACATTACGAAATGCACCCAAAGTAAACTTGCAAGTGAACAAGCCAACAAAAAATAATAATGACTAGAGTTGATGGTGTGGAGATATGAGAGGTGTGAGCTTGGAGAGTTGATAAACTCTAAGTGAGTTGTATAGTGTGTGTGCGTTGAAAATGAGAGAGAATGCACAACAAATTAAGTGGTTTAATTAACTTAAGTGCTAGACTAGTCCACGGTAATAGAGGTTATTGCTCATTTGTTATATATTGTTTGATGAAGAATAAGGAGGTTACACTTGAGGTATTGTTTTGCTCATACTGAGGTAGGGTGATGGCCTGCACATTTATACTCAAGGATTTCCTAATCCTAACAAACTTGTCGGAGAATATTTGGAAAAATCTTTGGTTGTAAAAGGCTCTATCTCTTAGGTGTGATATGACCTTCTAAAAGCAATGACATGACATCCTGAAAATATTAACTTCTTACCCAAGGTTGGCTTTGTTGATAAAAGTCCTTTTCTATTAGAACAACAGTTTCAAGATCCATTGACTGATTGCTTCAACTTTAATTATGTAAACTCAAGCGCAAGTTGAGCGAAGTAATATATTTCACGGAAGACCGAGGTCGAACCCTTAGAGAATTGTGAAACAGTAGCAATCACACTAATACTATAACAATCTTGTAAAGATTATTTGTTTAAAAGAATATTGAATTGAGAAAATTAATTAAAGTAATTAAATAGTATGAAAGAGTCAAGTACTCCCTCTCAA